GGAGGCACTTTCTCAGTTGAGGTTCCTCTTCCCAGATATTCTTGCTTGTGTCAAGTTGACAAAAACACAGGCAAAACCAACCAAGACACATGCACAGTGCTCTACCCTCTGAAGCAGCCCAAGGGTCTTGAAATAGGGTATCAGGTAGCCCAGGCAGTACTCCATCCCACTAAGTAGCTAAAGATGACCTTTAACTCTTAATAATCCTACCTCTGTCTTTGAAGTGCTGAGGTTAGAAAACTGTGCCAAAATGCCCTGTTTTATGTGATAGTAGGCATCAGCCCAGGGCTTTACAGAATCAGGCACCAAGTGAGCCATATCCCCATCCTTAGGTTGATCCAATTGATAAAAGGATTGCTAGCACCAGGAATGAGTATCAGTGTACTAGGCACTTGATTGGGTAATTACTGTTCTCTAAATATTCATGCTTATTTCTGTCATAAGCTCCATTGTCTCTTTCTCTTCTAGGTCAAGACTGATACAGTTATTATCCTATGTAGAAAGAAAGCAGAAAACACACGATGGGACTACTTAACTCAGGTGGAAAAAGAATGCAAAGAGAAAGAGTGAGTTTACTTTCCTTTAATTTTTACTATTTTTAGCTGAGGTTATGGTTTCACTTTTATGGATAATAGCTGTAAAGCAAATTGTTTATCTCCTAAGGTCTTGGGCCACCCTCTTGGAGACAGGGGGCCTCTATTAGGTAGTTCTAGTTGTTCTGGAACTTGCCAGACTGGCTTTGAACTCATGGAGATCTACCTGCCTCTGCTTCCTAAGTGCTGGTATTAAAGACGAGCACTACTATGCCTAGCCTGTTACAGCCTATTTGAAGAGAGCAAGGGCCAGTTTAAGATTGTTATTATATAGCTTGTTCTTTAGCATGGTTTTTATTGCTGGGCATAGTGGTGCATCAGTAGATCTCTATGGCTTGTTCTCAAATAATTTGGCTCTAGGAATTCTAGAAGAGCTCAGCTACAAAAGTCAGTTGATTCCTTAGATGTCTCTGAGGTATAGTTGGATTCACATTGGTTTTGTGTAACAGGGATACTCTTTCTAAAAATTATTTATTTTTGAGTCCTATTAGGTAGCATAAAACTTTGTCTCCCAACAAGTGAGATTATATGCATTTACTACCATATCTAGTTTTACTTTTTTTTAAAAATCTTACCAGATGACTGTCATCAGTTATAAGTTTTCTCCTGTAGTTAGTGGTATCCTGCACTCAGTCATTACGCACTTTTTCTTATTTCTCCTGTGGTAGCCAGCATTTGGGAAGTAGTAGGCTAGAGTTAGGCACATTTGACTACTTGGGACTTGATTTAAGCCTGAGTTTAAATAATAAGACCTAGTTCAAAAATAAAAATGTAAAGCTGATTGGCAGTGTTTGGACACTAGAATTGCTTAATTAAAGACTGCATACCACTTAACCTTAGGTAGGCCCAGGTCCATGAATCTCAAGGGTAGTGATTTTTTTTTTCTAATTAGAACTTAATAGTTTCATTATATATCCATACCATAACACATGTTTACAGGGTTTTGTAGGTTTTGAAATGTGAAGAAACAAGCTTTTGAAAATGAACAAGTTAGAAAAGTAATTACTCACATTTGCCTCTTTGCTCTTGAAATCTCACTGCCTCATGATCAGTCCTTGTCAGTTGGTTCTCTCTTCTGTGTACCATGTTCATGTAGATTTGCAGCTTTATCGGGATGAACCTAGGCATACTATTTTTTTGTATGGTCTAGTATCTCTTCTCTCTACTCAGCTTCGTACCACTTACAATCTAAGAGTATTTTTCCATGCTTCAAATTTTCCTTTGTTTTCTTTTTCACAGAAAGCCTTCCTATGACACTGAAGCAGATCCTAGTGAGGGTTTAATGAATGTTCTAAAGAAAATTTATGAAGATGGGGATGATGACATGAAGCGAACCATTAATAAAGCATGGGTGGAATCCAGAGAGAAGCAAGCCAGAGAAGACACAGAATTTTGAGACTTTTAAGTCCTTATGGGAACTGTGATGTTGAATGCTCATGTTTCCAGTAAGGGAATGTTGTTGAACTGCACATAAAATTTGACAGATAACTTTACACAGTCTTCTAAGTAAAGACAGCAAATTCTCCTTTTCTTACTGGAGGATTTGATTTAAATAATATGCTTATTATTTGATTTAAATAATACGCTTATTCATTAGCACCCCAGTCATTTTGTTTAAGAAAAGGTTGTGACATTCTTTCTGAAATGTAAAAAAAAAAAAAACCTTACATAATGAAAATGTTACATATTTTTGTTCTGGCTGGAAGGTAGAAAACAAGTATTTGCCTACTTGTAACTGACATTAGCTCCTAGTAATATAAAAGAAAACCAAAGTTTTTGCATAAAATTCAAATTTGTATACAAACTTGCAAGTTACTATAGAGCTGTTATCCGTTATTACCAGCTTAAGCGATGTGTGTGCCATGTATCACCATGTACTACTAATTGACTTAAGTATATTTATGAATATAAAGTTTAAACAAAATACAAATGATAGAAATAGACAAACATCTCGTGTTGGTAAATACTGCCGTGGATCAGATGGCTTATAAAGAACCATGATGAGAAAAACTTGAAAATCCATCTATTCCTTTGTTCAATAAAGTTGGAGTTTTACTTAAAAGATAGAGGAGTTTGCCATCTGTTTTGAAGTATATGAAAGTTAGGCTTTGTTTCTGCAGTAAGAAAGCTGGAGCGATAGCTGGTAAAGGCTAGGCTCACCACCATAAAGAAAGCAAGTAGATATCCACAAGAAAAAGCTAGCAGATCACCTCACCTCAACTACAAGAATTAAGTAAAAGTTGGAACTTGAAATTAACATACAGAATGGATGGCTAGAAGTATAATGGCTCTAGAACTGTTATTGTAACATGAAATAAACAGAAGGGTGAAACATTGCATATTATAAGATGTAGACTATAGTAAGAGTGGTATCTGGTAGGGAAGATGAATCATTCATGTTATCAATATAACAAAATAGTCACTTTCAACATATACAGAATCAAGGATGTAAACATAAGAGTATGTAAGTACTAGAAGAGATGGAATTCCATTATAACCTAAGAGGGGGGGAAGTCTCGATTAAAAATATAAAATGAAAATACATGGCAAAACACTACACACAACCTAAAACTGATGACATACTGAGAGATTTCTTATAAATAGTTCATAGAAAAAAACACATAGGAGTTAGGGGAGGTGACATTTTCTTCAATGGTGTAGCCGCTAGTAAGTTGCCCATGCTCCAGTAAGTAAGCCTAACAAAAGTAGTTGGCTCACCAAAACAAAAAACAAGGGAAATACAAAAACATGCTTACCCTGTTCTAGAATAACTAAGAAAAGCCATACCACCCTATTTTATGTTGGGAAAACTCCACTGGATCTTACATAAGAATATATTTAATTTCATGTGTAGGTTATGAAAAATAAACGCATACAACAAAAAACCCGAATGTATACAAAGAACACTTATTAACACTAACTACTAACACTAACTACTATTGTGCTACATCACAACTGAAAGACAATATTGACCTTAGAATCACTGAAACTTTAACATGATTGAAAAAACACTAAAATTGAAGAAAAAACCTAACTCACTTTGTTCATTTCTGCTTTGTAATTTACAGAAATAAATAGAAACCTTTCTTGCCATTCTGGGCAATTCCAAATCAAACGGCCAATCCATTTGGTGGTTAATAAGAGCTTGCTTTGACAGAGGATGCAAAGGGGATGAAAGTCTCCCAGGAGCACCCAGCACCTTGGTCTCACTCATGAAGGTGAAACTGGCCCTACTTCCTAAAAGTCCCACCTCTAAATACTAGGCATTAAAGTTCAGTATGCATTTTGGAGAGAACTATTTAAGCAATAGTATGCATGCTGAGTTTAGTACAAGTTTTTCAAGTCTCTTTAGACTATTAACATTTGCCCAATAAATGGATTCTAAATTCTGTACCACGATTGATAGTAATATACTGCAATTTTAATATATTGTAAACAAGTTGGTGACATTTAGTTGTTATTTGTAAAGGTTGTTTTTATTATTTTTGGATTATGTGCACATGTGTGGGTATTTACATGTTGTGATTGCCAGAGGTGTTTTACTTCCCCAGGGAGTTGAATTACATGGGTGCTAGGAACTGAACTCTGGTCTCCTGGAAGAGCAGTGAGCGCTCTGCTGAGACATCATCCCTCCAGCCCCCAAGAGTTAAGATTTTTATGTAAGATACACAAATATAAAATGAATATAAAGGTACCACTTCTAATCAAAACACAATTCAAGAGTTGGTGAGATGGCTCCATGTGTACTACTCAGAGAACCCCAGTTCGGTTCCCCACACCATCCCAGGGGCCTCACGATAACTCCAGTTTTAGTGGTATCTGACACCCCTGGCCCCCCAAGCACTCACAACCACCCCATGCATGCACATGAACATAATAAAGAACAAATCTTGAAACAAAATAATTTGTAGCAAGGCAATGACAATTTAGTAGCTATGAGTTAACCTTGGCGTATCTTGTAGTCTCTACACATCATTTCCTACTAAAAAGCCAAGGATCCCTAAAGACAGGTGGAAATATGTGAGCTAAATATACTCTTATGCCAGTAAGCAAGGATATAGTAAATAATCTTATAGGACATAGATATCCAGGGACTTTCCACTGGTGATAAGACAATGATCATGAGTAAGAATGAGCAGAGTGGACGGAAGCACCAAATACATACAAATTTCAAAGTTCACAGGAATAAAGAATGATTTGTTTCTATTTTTGTTGTTAGTATATGAACATGTTTACTCTGAATTAAGACATTATCTTGAAGAGACCAGGGAAGCTAAGCTAGCCCAGGAGTAGCACATCATAGAAAAGCAACTTGTCGACTGAATGGAACGTCTTCTCAAGTGTTTTGTGAAATCACTCTTTAAAAAATATATTTGGCTACGAAACATCAAACTTCAAAGAAAACACTGTATTTTAACAAATTATTTTTATTCCACTCATAACCATGTTTGGGAGTAATATGCCTATTCTAAAGTTAAAGAAAAGACAACTCAATGACAGAAATAACCATGTTTCTTCATTTAAAATCTAAAAGTAATTTAACTTGGGGCCAAACAGACTAAACATACCAGACCTTTATAAAAACCAGGATTTGGTCTTTAAAGTCTCTTTTGACAGGACTGGCTTCCCTGGAGCAGGGTAAATCTTAAACTGATTTACCATATTGCTCGTTGGACTCCAGACAGTAGCCCATGGTCAGCTAAGTGGCGGAAGACGATGCGACTAAGCCTCCAGCGACGCTTAACACCACGTGGGCGGGATGTTATAACACACCGATTTCTGATTCGAACAGGGCAGCTATCCCGTGGAAGGGCAGCGATTTCTTCACCAGCCATTTCCTAGGGGAAATCATAATAGATCATAACTCGGTGCCTAAAGGAAAGGATAAATGGGCTAGACCCTTAGCCAAAGAACACTGGTAGTAAGCCTTAACCTTTGAAAAGAAACAAAAAGAAGAAATAGAAGAAATACTTCATTTTTTTCCCCAGTATGATTTTAAAGATTAAAACATAATCTGCAAACCATAATGACAAAGTTCAGTATATTTTTACAAACAACATATACTATGTAGCCAACACTGAATTAGAAAGTAATATCAGCACCCAAGGGTTGATCTGTGCCTCCCTTCTCACAGCTAACATGTTCATTAATAACATAAAAATACATTTTTCCTGTTGCAAATTGTATGTTGTATGCCCATATAATATTTTCTCTCTCTATTCATTTGGTCTTTTATTCTACAATATGTTAGTTAGGCCACCTACACTGTTGCAGGTGTCATTAATCTGCCCAGTTCATTGAGTATGCTAGAAGTCCTTTTATGTATCTTGTAGCTTCCTGTTTTGAGCTACTGTGAATAGTGCTGCTTCATACATCCATGTTTAGGTTAATTTAGAAAAAATACGGGAATGCATTTATTGTCCCCATAGAGACACGTAATTTTTGAAGTACAAACGTTTTAAACCTCTGAACTGATAATACAGTAGGAAAGACCATGGCTTGAGACAATTAAAAAGTTGGATCACCAAGAGCCTCAAAGTCTTAAGATGAAGATTCTGACTACTGTAGAAATAAAGAAGGGTACCCAAAGTTTACATGAGAAAGAAATTTACAATGTCCATGAATCTCGTACAAGTAATGTCTATGAAACTGGTAAGTGGCTGAGGGGAGAAAGTATGGCAGATTAGGCTCAAGTTACCAATAAAAACTTACTCTTACAAAAAAAAAGGTATAATAATATGTATACGTATAACACTTTGCTAGATGTGCTGTCACACACCACTGACCCTGTGATAGAAACAAAAAGTACATTAACATTTAATAGAACAAAAACTGCAATGATACCTAAAAGAAATCACTAATAGAGTAGTCAACCGTCCTGATGTCCAAACGCTCATACATTTGTTGACATTTTGAACTATGTGGAGAATTATGTAAGACAACACGATGAGGTCAGTGAACAAATATTACGTGCTATAGAAGAATGTGCAGACTTGTCTATGCATACCTCGTCCTTGTCTTCAAAAAATGTCAGTTACAAATGACACTGGCACAAGGAAAATGAAAGCAGAAAAGAAAGCACTTAGGTCCCAAAGAGCATATTAGAAAGCCTGCTGAAACTAGATATAAATTTAACTTTGAAGCACTAGACAGCCCTCATCAATTTAGATAACTCAGTTTCTATGCTGCTATTACTGGTACTAATACTAGTGGCATTTCTTCCGGTGTGTGTGTGGAGTGTTCTTTATAACTCTGGCTTAATTAGAAATTAAAATTTGTATATAATTATTATATACTGGCACATACTATCTACTCTTTGCAAATTTCAGGTGAAGAATATAGTACCAACTATGACTACTACACAATATTTTAGCATAGCACTTTACCTTGTAAACCCAACTATGTGCCTTTTGACCCCTACGGACTCCCAGCTCTTTGCAGCCACCTTTCTACTCTGCTTTCATGATCAACAGTGTCTTTAGATGAGTTGCTCAAGGTTCTCTTATATTAAGTGGTTGTAATATAATAACCCCAATTGTAGTAAAAGCCACAACAGAATGGTCCTGGGAACTCAGTTTTCTGCTCATTTAGCTTAAACCAGATGAGATTTAAATGAACACATAACAGCCAGGCAGTGGTGATACACACTTGAATCCTAGCACTTGGGAAGCAGAGGCATACAGCTCCGAGTTTGAGGTCCACATATTGAATTCCAGACCAGCCAGAGCTACACAGAGAAAACCTGTTTTGAAAAACAAAAATCGGGGTTAGAATGACGGCTCAGAGGTTAAGAGCACTGCTCGCTCTTCCAGAGGTCCTGAGTTCAATTTCCAGCACCCACACGGTGGCTCACAACCATCTGTAATCTGGTACCTCTTCTGGTGTGCAGGTGTACATGCGGGCAGAGCATTGTATACATAATAAAATGAAAAAAGTCATTCTGCCAACTTGTTTTTTATATGAATTTTCAGGAATATAAGTAGCTTGGGTTTTAATTTCCTATGAGCCTATAGGTATTCTGTCACCACTTCAGTGTAAAACCTTGTGCCTCATGAGCTAAGCAGGGTTGACACCCTTTTATTTAACCAGAAGTACATGATAAGAAAGGAAGGCTATATGGAAGACCACTTAACCCTGCAGGGGCAAAGGAATTTCAGAGAGCAGGTCCTGAGGAAGGCCACGTGCTTGGCACATAGCCCACAAAAGAGCAGTAACTCCAAATGCCTTGAGGGTTCCAAAACCAGGATGAAGTTAGAGAGACCTTGGGGCAAAGGTCAAAATACTTCTGTTTCTGTGTGGTCACCACTCACTAGTACTTTCTAGGGACTGTCTAAAGAAATAGGTTAAGAACTACAAAGGAGTAAATGAATAATTGTCCTTTATCCTAAATTTACCAAAATCAGATTTAAGTCTATTTATGTTGACTTGAATATTTGATCTTATTCTTCAGAAATTATACTAAGGTGCAATAAAATAGCATCAAAGAACCTGAAGTCCATGATTTTTATGGAAGAAAGAAAAAATAAATAAAGGGATCAACTGGCTAACCTGAAGGTCTTTTGGCAAAATAGTATTCTTTCTGAGCGAATTGATCCGGAGCCTCTCATCTGCATATTCGTAAGCCATTTTTCGTCTCTTCACGTCACGCAACATTTTCCAGTCTACATAGTAACCTCGAACTTGACCTGACGCTGATGGAGGAACCACCTAAAAAAACAGAGACAAGGACCATGGGTGCTGCAAGTGTTTTTTTTTTTTTTTTTTTTTTTTTTTTTCAATTTTATAAACTACTTTCAGTCCCTGCTTATGACTTTCAGCAATGAAAAGAAATTAATTATATTATGTGTGTGCTTATATCTATGGATGGGCATGTATGTGGTCAGAGGACAACTTTAGTGAATCAGTGTGTGCGTGTGTGTGTGTGTGTGTGTGTGTGTGTGTGTGTACAGGCATGTGTGTGGTCAGAAGCAACTTTAGTGAATCAGTGTGTGTGTGTGTATACAGGCATGTGTGTGGTCAGAGGCAACTTTAAGGATAACTTTAGTGAATCAGTTTGTGTGTATGTGTGTGTGTACAGGCATTTGTGTGGAGGTCAGAGGACGACTTTTGTGTGGTAGAGAATGTTCTCTACCACACAGGGCCTTAGGATTGAACTAGACAGGATTGGTGGCAGGTATTTTACCCACTGAGCCATCTCGCCAGCCCAAGATTTAGTAACAGGGCACACTACAATTCTTATGGACATCAGATGACAATCTGCAGTGTTCCTCTTTCTTAAATCATTGTTACCTGCTCCTACACCCCCACGTTGTTGACTTCAGTGTCCCTTAGTTATAAAATTAGAAGCAATCTGAAGAGATCTCCCTACCTCCCCAGACTACCATACCCATTGGCTCAGCAGTATTTGTACACTTACACCCCACTCTGGTTATAAGTCACCCCTGTCCATTACAGTGGCCACTAACTATGGATATAGCTAGGAGTCACTGGAAATGTAAGCAGTACAACCGGGGACGCAGTTCTTGGTATTAATTCACTATACAATTTCAAACATCAGGCGACTTTGTTTTCGGTACAACTGCATTTTTCACTGTATGATGCAAAACATTAAGCATCCCAACTGTGATGTTTCAAGTGTAAGATACAAGTAAAGACTTTGAAAACCTGCTTCCAACATAAGAATGTAAAGGTCTCATAAATTATCTAATCTTGATTTGTTAGAATACGGATAAACCTGGCTAAAATATACCTATCAAAATTAACTGCACCTACTTGTTAACTTCAATTAAATACAAGAAAAAGAAATAAACCATCCTGTGGTTTGCATTACATTTCTATTGGACAAAACTGCTCCACGTGACCTAACCTAAAATCAAACTTCATACACAAGACCCTGTATCACTTCTTGCCTGCAAAAAGGCAGAGCTCCAGCGATTCTCCCCTGTCCTCCCTCATCAGTGTCCCCCATTTCTAATGGCTCTTTCTCTCTAATATACGGATGACGTTGCTTCTATCATAGAAAAGTAAAAACCACCCAGGTCTCCCTCTGGTTGACACCCTTCACAGCAAAACTCCTGAGGGCTTCTCCAACTTCCTTTGCTACTTTTTCCAGTTTCTGTCCCCATCACTGCCACTCCCCGACTCTACAGCCAACTCTCTGCCTTTCCTCTAACTCTTCAGCTTTAGCGGAATGGCCTGCTCCCTGTTCGAAATTCTGTCACCACCTGCTTCCAATCCACCACTGGCTGACAGCTTCCCTTCAGGTTCCGTGCAGTCGGATCCCCTTAGACCTCAGTCCTCCGACCCCCTTTTCTTCTCCATTTACTCGCAGTTCCTTATCAACCGGAGTCAACCTCGCAGCTTTCCAATCTCGGCTCCACACCTGACCACCAAATCCTCGTTCACCGCTCAGGCCTCTCCTAACCTAGCCCGGAATAAGAAAGCTGATGGAAGGAGCCCTGGGATTGGTCCTCCGTGAGCATTACAGGTGACAGGGTTACGGGGGACACACAGGACTCGGAATTCAGGGTAAGAGGTGCGCTGGCGAGAAAGGCAACGGCCTGACCTGCCGGAAGGTCCGCAGCAGCGAGCCCAGCACAGACGCCGCCATGTTGGCTGCCTCGCCAGCCAACCACCACCGCGTTACAGCAGCGGAAACGGATGCGTGAGGGGCGGGGCCTGTACCTCAGAGGTCGGCCCGCCCAGGACAGAACGTAGCCTAGGTGGGGGGCGGGGCTAGGGCCGGGATTTGCGCTCTCGCGGGATTTCACAGACCACCCACTTTGGCCGAAGTGAGGCAGTGAGGCTGCGCGCTCTCCTCTTACCCGCACCTCCTCTGTTCCCGCCCAACCCGCTGCAGTATTTGGCGAGTTGGCGCCACCAGGTGGAAACTTGCCAAAGTCTGTCACTCATCCTGCAGAACTGGCACATGTCACATTTCTGCTGTAATGATGATGGTAGTGGCTCTGATAGAAATTCTGTGTGCGTGTCTAGGGTTTTAATATACATTGTATCTGTATTAAGGTTGTGTACCTTTTACTTTTTGTCACTGAGTGTATGTGTATGTTGGGTGGTGATGGTAGTGGTAGTTTGTGTGTGTGTGTGTGTGTGTGTGTGTTTGATTTAAAACATGCTGTTTCCAGTCGAATACAGCGCCCTTTCCTGTCATCTTCCTAGCTTGTATTTGTTGATAGATACAGTGAGGACCAGCCCACTGGGCTATTTACATAGGAACCTCCCGGGAGGAAGGAGAATCTTTTATTTAGGAGTTCCGATTTACTGAACATTTCCAATGGACTAGGGAGAGTCTGACTGAAACCATCTTGCAGAAAAAGACAACAGGAGTCCCTGCCATCAAACTAAGATCTAAAAAGTCCTAGAGCACCAGCATCAGACAGGCACCTGCCTCAGACTCTTTAACACTCCCCTCACACCGGTCACAGGCACAAACACAATTGGGTGTCATCTATAGTTATCTCCGGATATGGGTATAAGCAAACTTTGATTACCTTTTCTGTTGGTATATGACTCCTGTTTGTTTTCTAAGTGGGGTTAGATGGGCTGGGAGGAGATGAGTGAGGAAAACCGTAATCAGAATATGTTGTATGAAAAAAAATATTCTCAATTTTAAAAGAGATTTTTTAAAGATTTTTCACTAATGTGTTACTATGTCAGCAAAGTTTTTGGAAGGGGCTTAAAAGTCAGACAGATGTGCTTATAGGCTATATAGTAAGAAATGAATTTTATACAATTAAATTATTGCACAGACCCGTAGGACTTGTTGAATTCCTAAAAGGCCCAGAAAAAAATCTAAATGATTAAATCCAATATGTGTACCTACAATATCTCTGAAAGTTAAACTTTTTGTTTTGTTTTGTTTTGTTGAGACAGGGTTTCTATGTGTTAGTCCTGGCTGTCCTGGAACTTGCTTTGTAGACCAAGCTGGCCTTGAACTCACAGAGATCTACCTTCAGCTTCCTGAGTGCTGGAATTAAAGGCTTGTGCCACTGTGTCTATCAAAAGTTAAACTATTAACTGCTTCATTTTTCCATAACACATTTCTTCATTTTCTCCCAAGTATAATGCTCTCAAACCCTTCAGAACGAAGGGCACAAGAAATCCAATACTAAGAATACAAGATAAAAGAAGAATCAGACACATTTTTTAAGATTTACTTATTATATATAGTGTTCCATCTACATGTATGCCTACAGGCCAGAAAAGGGCACCAACCTCATTATAGATGGTTGTAAACCATCATGTCGTTGTTGAGAATTAAACTCAGGACCTTTGGAAGGGCAGCTAGTGTTCTTAACCTCTGAGCCATCTCTCCAGCCCAGGAATTAAAAATTTTGACTGGAACTTGTAAGTTTAACATGGAAACCACAATTTTTCAAACCAGTCCTATGATGCTGTGTACTTAATGGGATGTGTGTAGAGTCTGTGCATTGTAGTTTTTCTGTTGGTTAAAAGTTAGCAACATACAAGATGACTCCTAACAGATTTTTCTCTTATGTTTTGTTCATAGCAAAATTATACGCAGAACGTTTATGACACTTGCTTATTACATATTCAAGCAGTGTAGGGACAGGCTTGCTTTTGGCAGCTGAGCACCCGCTTACTGGGTTCACTCACTTGAGCAAGCAATGCATACCACAACTTCCCAACAATTCAAGGTAAGTCACACTAACAGAAAAAACTAAAAAAAAAAAAAAAAAAAAAAAAAAATACACTGGTATACATTATTTTTTTTTCAATGAGCTTTCAGTTTGAAAATCTAATTAGCAGAACTAAATCTTAATTTTTTTAAATGATAAAACTGGCAATGCATTGAAAACTGGGAGATTCATCAGCAAACTCACAGGCAAAATATACTTCATTAGGAGAAAAGACTTTAGTAATTTGGGGGAGTAGCTAAGATACGGAATGACTTGAAGTCTAAGGCCACCTAGGAAATTGGCCCAATGAGTTAAGAGAACCAATGACTGGTGACAAGTGTGAAATGAACTTTGTCTCAGACTAACCAACTGTATATATTTTTTAAATGGCTTTGAATTTTTTAAGGGTAAAATGTGATTTCTTAGAAATGAATCAGAAGGTTCCAGAGCCCTGTTAAACTTGTAGATAACAAAGTGAACATTGAGTGATGAGAAGTCACTCCAGATAAAGTATTGTGGAAAAGTAATTTTTGGAGTTAATAACACTGTTGCTCTGGCAGTAGGTACAAGAAACTGGTTCTCTGGAAAGAAGGTAGGGACTCTCTGCCATTGGCCAGTAGAGAGATAAAGGTTCCAGCTAGAAGTGAGATCTTTAATTCTCGAGTTTATCTTTTGCTGCTTATACCTTTGTCTTCTTGATGGCCATATCAGTAACTGAAAGTCTATTAGTGGGGCCTGTCAGGGGGAGGCGTTGGGGAGAGTGCACCTTCCCCCTCGGTCTTAAATGTTTTGAGAGACTTTCTTTGGAATTTTCTCATAGTGAGTTTCCATGCACAAGAAAATAGTATATGCTGCTAAACAAGCCAAGCAGCCTTCAAGATAAAACTAGCTCTCAAGTTTCTCTGCTTCTTCATTAAAGGTCATTAGAGATCAAAGTGTTTCTTCAGACAGTTACCTATCAATATTGTTCTCCAACACCCCTCTCCTCAGGGAACTTGGTCTTTTGCTGTCACTAGATACCACTGTTAAAATCTTACTGAATGAATACATTCCTGGACACCAGTGCTCGCTGTGGCCTTGTGGAAAGGACTTGCTGAGTTACCCCTCTACCCTCCAACTGTGTTATACCAACTTTATCAGCTTTATTTGTATAAAATTAGTGAGGTTTTTTAGTTTGCTTGTTTGGGTTTCTCTGTGTAGCCTTGGCTTTCCTGGACTTGATTTGTAGACCAGGCTGGTCTTGAACTCACAACAATCTGCCTGCTCCCATCTCTCTGAGTGCTAGGACAACATGTATGTGCCACCACACCTGGCTGTGTAAAACTTGTTTTGAAAACAACTTTCCCCATGGTAGGCTATCCTGCACTATGGTATGACAAGAACACAGCCAAGACTCCATCTCCATGGTGTCATAAGAACAGTCAGGAGAACTATATCTGTCTAGAGTTGGACACAAGACCATGGCCAGATCTTTCTGGGAAACAGCCAGAAAGACTTCAGACCCTAAGAGCAAGGTGGATCTGATTGTTTGCCTTGCTGAAAATGGAAAATTAAGGTAAGAAGGGTAGTGCACTCCTGTAATTCTAGCATTTGGGAGGTAGAGGTAGGAGGGCCAGGAGTTCAAGGCTATCCTTGGGTGCACAGCAAGTTCAAAGCTATTGTGGGCTACAGTGAGACCCTGTCAGAAAAGATCAAGCAAAAAGACAAGAACAACAGCAAAAGACAATGGATAATTGGTGGCAAACAGAGAAGTATCCCAGGATCTAAACTTTCCATGCTCTTTATCAGTTTATTATATGTTGCAGGATATTTGGAAACACTGTGAACTTCAAGATTGTGTTGTTTATTGGAAAAACCTGTTTTTAGTTGTGGTGTGACTCAGCCCAAGCACACACCTTTAATCCAAGAGCTTTCTGCTTGAATATTGTAAACAGGATTAAATAAGGTCAACTGTATTTCAGGATGTGGAGCAAGCAACCAGCTGACAAGGAGTAAACATAGGATAAAACCATAGCGAGTAAGAAGTCAGTAGAAGGGAGGGACATTCAGTTTGAGGTTTTTTGTGTTTGTTTGCTTTAAGGCCTGGGAATGGAGCATTCCTTCATTTGGGATGTTGGCTGAGGAGGAAGGTCAGCTAGGTGCTTTGTCTCTCTAAGCTAGCAGGCTTTCATCCCAGCATCTGGCTTTATTGGAAAAATCAAACATTTGAGATTTTGTTAAAAAACATTTGACACTCCAACTGTTGGCATGACGACAAGAACAGAGAAGTCATGCCAGCTGTGGACAAACTGGGAAGCCAGCAGATATGATAAGTTGTCTGGGAAGTCCTCAGGAGATAGTATGGGAAATACCTTAATACAAGGTACTAAAAGCCTGTATGGTGCTACTTCAGATAGCTTTAAAATAGAAACAGAAAATGAAAAGATAAATGACTTTAACTGAGATTGACATAATGCTAATTATAATTACTATCAGTCAGGTAATTCATATTTTATCTTTAATAGACATAGTAGTTTTTTTGTGCCAAATATAAAAAGTGGATTGATAAGATACAAGCCTTAGAAAGACTTATAAATGAAAAGAAAAAAGAAAAATACTCAGTCACAGAGGAATTTAGACAAGAACCCAAGCCCAAGATTGTTAGAAAACCAACCCTAGTTTATCTAGTTACTATATAATACCTACCAGGATACAATAGGTACCCCCAAGGTTATGAAGAAGTTAAATGGAACCTTATTAAAGGAAAATTCAAAGTCTCTGTCTCTTATCAGAAGAGCCAACTGGTATGGGACAGGAAAACAAAAAATGAGGGACTATTCTATTGCCACTAATCTCATACATAATCTTTTGATTTTATTTGGCTCTCTAAAGCTTTTCTTAAGGCATAAATATCATCTCAAAATCTTTAATCAAGTTTGCTTTGTAAAAACATTCTACAACCCCTACCCAGCCCAGTGCACTTCCCTCTCTACTTTGTGTTTGGGAAGTTTGGAGAGGTCTAGA